TCCAGGCAGGGGGTCTTCTCTTAGGCTTAGCAGCTCTCTGGGAGGCTTCCCTAGGCTGCAGCTCTCCCCTGCAGTAGGGGAGTAGGATTCGGAACACCCAGAGAGGCCAGTCACGCTTAGTGGAATGGGAGAAGAGATGCTAGACTTGACCCCCCAGCTACTGGGCTCTTCCCCTTCAGAAGAAAGAGTACTACCCCATGTGACTTGGGTGAGGGGAGGGGTACACTGGACCCTTTTTGAGTTCTACATTTGAACCTTGTGAATTATTTATGTCCATTCTGTCTCCCTTCTCAACCCTCACCTTTCCCTGGTGTTGTTAACCATTTCTTGTTACCCTTTGTTTTTCTTCATAGATTTTGCACTTTTATCCATGTCTATTGACAGTTTTAATTATGAGGACTGTAATTCAAGTGGTTGCCTCTGTTCCCTTGTTTTCTGGCAGCAGGACTCTTATCTGACTGTTTTTGGAATGCTGTAGACTTTGTCTCCTCATTTGGAAGACAGCAGGGGCTGTTTGGCAGCCTGCGAGTACCCCTGTCCACTTGCTTCTCTGTGTCTGCGTTTTGTTCTCCCGGTGAACCCTCTTTCCCTTCTCCTCTCCTTTGTACCCTGCTAATCAGGTGTAGGCAATTTCCTGTCAGACCTGAAGCTTTTGCAGAGTCAAAGCTACAGAACAGAATGTTTAACTCCTCTTTAGTGGTAGAAGGAGGCAGAAGTCAAATGCGTCCCAAAGGAAGCAGCCTCGGGAAACGCTGCATTGGACTCTTTGTGCCCGTCCTAGGAGGAGGGAGAGTGAAGCCAGTCTCCGTCTTTCTAATCACGGGTCTGGACCTGGAGGTTCACTTCCTGGTACTTAGTTTCTAGGCTCTTCTTGCTGTTGCAGAATTCATGAGATCTCTCTCAAAGGAATTTGTCATCAGAACTTTGTGCTGCATTTCTATTGAGGAACGAAGCAGGAAGAGAAGAGTGTCTCCTGGGAATCCAGCACTGGAGACACATGAGTTGGATTTGTCTTATTTTGTGTTTGTTTTATGTTTGTCTATCAGTTAGCAATCTACTCTTTACCTAAATTTTAAATGTTGTCTGCTCTAACTGATGTGGTATGCATAAAATCTCAGGTTCCCCAAAGAATAGTTGTTCTTTTTTCTTTTATCCTAAAATATAGTATAAGTTGGAACCCTAATCCTAGTTACAGGGAGTAATTTGGATTCTGATCCAGAAGCTCTCAGACTGCATTTGCTCATTGTTTCAGCTGCCTAGAGGGCCTGAAACAGAGCAGCATCTACTGCCAAGGCTGCCCAGGTGGAGTCCATCTAAGCCGAGAAAGCTTTGTTCTCTCAGCTGTGCTTGACCTCCACAATCTCTGTACCACCTTGTGTTTGTTCTCTCATATGGGTGAAGGTGAGAGGTCCCTCCTAACAAGAGGGGAAGTTGGTGCAAGTTTTCCAAATGCTGCTTGTAAAATGCATAGATGGAGAAGTTGGAAGAGAGATTTCTTGGGTGAGGAGTTTTTTCCCCTTCTTTGAAACTGGGCCTCCTAAGGCTGGCCCTGAAGAGAAACTTGCTTTTGTACTTTTTGAGCTGGGGGAGAGAAGGAGTTGTCAGTGGGGGATTGTTTATCAGTTGGCCCTCTGCTTTCTCTGGATGACCACCTGGGGCCTAGAAGTGGGGCTGGGGTCCTACTCTGAACCACAGAAGGCAGTGGTCCAGTGGTCAGGACTGGGCCTGGAAGCTGCCACGGCTGAGCTCAGACCCACCCACCAGGACTTCTTTCACCCCTATTCCTGTCCTCTCTCCCCTGAAGGACCATCTACGAGGGATTCAGAGTTCATTCTCCAGAAATGATTTTTCTTGGTGTGAAATTCTAATATTGACAATTTTCTTTGAAGTAACTGAATTTAACTCAGCAGATCCCCCCCTGCAAAGCTATGAGAATTTTCAATAGGTATGAATTATGAGTTGCTCCTGGTGGAGATAATGAAAGAAGAGGGACCCAGAAGTGAATAAGGAGGCAGAGCACTTGACAGTGTGGGCTGAAAGCAGACCAGAGCCAGAAGGGCAATCTATGGGCTGTGGAGAGGGGGGAATGTGGAGCCCCTTGGATTTCCTGGCTTGGGGAGAATTTGACAGCTTATGAATCCTGTCTGTTTGCTGGTCTCCTAAAGACTGTGGAGACCTCCTTCTTTCACTGTGAGTGAATCATCACCCACTGTGTTGTACAGCTAGCAGAACTTTGGTCTGAATTCTTGATGAAAATTTTGATATTTCCTGGGTTCACCTAAGGTCCTTATTGATGTTTAGTCTTATTTAGCTCTGCTTAATTTACCTATGTCTTTCATGTTGTCTCTGTGCATTTGAGGTCCAGGGTTTAGTTTTTTAGCCATCACTTAGGAGCTGTGTGACTTCACATAAAGCATTTAACTTCCTTATACCTCTATTAGTTAATCTCTGAAATGGACATATTAATATTATTCCTGCAGAAAGACATGGGACCTGGCCCAGATGATGGCTCTAAGGTTTCTTCCAACTTCAGCAGACGATGATATTGATTCTGTGTAGTCAGTATTGCTCTTTAAGGATTTTATTTCTTTATTTTGAGAGAGAGGGGAAGGGAGGGAGAAAGAGAGGGAGAGAAACATCAATGTGTGGTTGCCTCTCACATGCCCCCTATACTGGGGACCTGGACTGCAACCCAGGCATGTGCCCTGAATGGGAACCGAACCAGCAACCTTTAGGTTTTCAGGCTGGTGCTCAATCCACTGAGCCACACCAGCCAGGACATAAGGACTTTAATTATAGGCTATGATAGCACACTACATTGGAATTGTTTTATTGAGAGTAATATTCAGTTCTGTGTCGAGTTCTCAATAACTGCTTAGATTCGAGTCTGTCTAATTCACAAAACATTTACATAACACCTGGCTACTAGAAACAAAAATAGATTATTCAGTCAAGGTCCCTATGCTGAAAGAAGTAAGAGAGAAATGGGAGTGATTAATTAATTAATTTTGGGCAGGAAAGGGGGAGAAAGGGAATAGTACAGTATAGGGAAGGTCATTTAATCTGCACTTTGAAGAATAAGTAGGAATTTGCCCATTAGACTTGAGGGATTGGGTGATTTCAGGCAGAGGGAACAGCATTTGCAAAGGCGTAGAGGACTAATAAACCATGACATATTTAAGGAACAGGAAGCCTTTTGAATTCTTGAACATGGGTTGTGTGTATTGTGGGGAAGGTGAAGAGCAATGGGGAATAGATTGGTGAAATGGATAAACTTCAAATCACGAAGGGCATAAATGAACTGAATAACAAAGACTTTTAATTAACTTATATTTTAATGGTGGGGAATGGATTAGCAAGAGCATCACAACGTCTTTTGTGATGTCTTAAGCTGATTTGATTCTAAAATCTTCAGCAGCCAAACCTGAACACAGGCAGGTATAGTAGTATTATAATGCAAATGCCCATGTTAAAAAAAAAGTCTTTACCTTTTAGAAATATAGACTGAAATATTTTTGTATGAGATATGATTTACTTTGAGATAATGAGGGAAGGTGGTTGTGTGAGGGTGTGATATTGTGATTTACATTTGTAGTAAGAAACAAATGTTTGGTCTTTGTCAGAATTCCTTGTGACAGGTGATAAAGGTGCCTTTTGTTATGTTAATGCAGTGACTTTGGGACTATACCTTAGGACAGGGTTTATTTGCCAAGAGAGCAAACTATGTGATTAGAGTGTTGAAACTTTCATTCCCACACCCACACCCACCCCATTCCTAGGAAGGGAGAGGATCTGGAGCTTGCGGATTGGTGAACACTGGGAGTTGCTGGGAGAATAATGGGGCTGGAGAGGGAGGGCATCTCTTCCACCTGGCTGTTCCCGAGTGATTCTTTTATAATCAACCAAAGATCTACTAAGTACCGTATTTTGCCGTGCATAACGCACACCCAGGTTTTATGTGCATTATACATAAGATTCTTGCTCTCATGGTGTGTAATCATTATACCCATGTATAATGTGCATCCTTATTTTTTCCCCTCAAAAATTTGGGCAAATAGTGTGCTTTATACATGGCGTAATACAGTAAAATGTTTCTCTGAGTTCTGCAAGCTACTCTAGCAAATCAATCTAACTTGAGGAGGAGAGGTGAGGGAACCTCCAATCTATGGCTGGACTTGCGATGGGCATCTGAAGTGTGTATGTGGTCAGTCTTGTGGGACTGAACCCTAAGCGTGTGAAATCTGATGCTCTCCCTGGGTAGGTATTGTCAGAATTGGGTCGGACTGTAGGACACCCTGATGGTGTTCGAGAATTGCTTGGATGTGTGGGAAACCCTCTCCTATGTTGAAACTGGGTGCAGAACCCTTTTTAGTAGTGTTGTTGATGAAGCCAGATTTTTTATGATTGTGGAAGCATATTTTTGTATGCATTTGAAATTTTCCACAATAAAAAGTTTAAAAAATTGGTTAGTTATGGCAATGTAATCCATTTGTCCCTCCGAAAATAATTGAGAGTCTATTAAAAAAGGCTGAAATTGGTGTTTTGGAAAATTTTGGATTTTAGTATAAAGAGCTCGTAAACCAGGGGTGGAGGTGACATGTACGTAAATAAGTTTAAGATAAGTCCGAATATTGTGAGTTCCATATATTAGAAACAGGTCTAGATAAGGTACTGTGGCAGTTCTGGGGAGATAGAATGAAGATGGCATTGACCTTGACTCATTCACTCAACTCAACGCTACAAACACTTCGGGCTTGGGCTTCACAGGCCTCACTGTGTCTGTTGCAGCTGCTCAGCTCATCTGTTGTGAGCAGCTGTGGTCAAGGAAATGAGTGAACATGTCTATATTCCAATAAAACTTTGTTTATGGACACTAAATTTTGAATTTTCTGTAGCTTCACGTGTCTGTGAAAAAATATACTTGGAGTCATTTTATTTTAATTAATTTATTTCTTTAAAAGATTTTATTTATTTAGAAAGATGGGAGGGGAGGGAGAGAGGGAGAGAAACATCAATGTGAGGGGGAAACACTGATCGGCCCAATCAGGGACGCGGAACCCACAACCCAGGCATGTGCCCGGACCAGCAGTTTAACTGGTGACCTTCTGCCTTGTGGGATGGCACCCAATCAACTGAGCCACGGGGGTCAGGGCCAATTGGAGCCACTTTAAAATAGGGTTGGAGCTGTCATTCCAGAGGGACTGCCTTGCCCAGCGTGTCTCGAGGCTTTGTAATGTTAAAACTGGGCCAAATAACCTTTGGACTGGACCTAAAGCAGCATTGTACCCAAAACAATTGTTTGCAAAGAGAGCAAGAAAGTAGATACTGTGACTCCAGGGACTGGCTGGCCTGAAAATGAAAAAACATTCTTTAGAATTAGAGCCATTTATTAGTCTATCTGCACCTATAGAAATTCCTTCCTTCCATTGATGCAGTTGTTCCCCTTCCCTTTCTCACAAGTGCTTCTTGGCTTCTAATCAGAACACTGGGTTTCCTTTTGAATCACTGCTTCCCAAATACCTGTGCTTTTGGGTCTCAAATGCTTGTTGCCTTTACTCTGGCCTTTTACCTTTAGGTGACACATCACAACATATTATTCTTCTATTTATTTTTTCAATTATTTAAAATGTAAAAATCATCCTTCATAAGCCAAACAAAAACAGATGGTGGCCTGGATTTGGCCTACTGCTGTAGTTTGCCAACCCCTGCCCTGGCTTAAAAGTTCCTCATCTCAACTTTGAACTGGATCATTCTGCCAGATGCGTTGGTTAGAAATCAGTTACAAAGTGATTTGGCCAGCTTCTGTGAGTCTGTTTTTGCCCTATTCTAAATATAGATTATTTCCATCTTTCATGTGGCCTGTTCACAACATATTAGTGTCTCTGATGGGAAACTGGTCTAGATCTAGACAATCTCTGGGATACTGTTCACCCTGATGATTCTAGCCCATTGATTTTCTTAAATAAAAAACCTGCCCTGGTTGGTGTGGCTCAGTGGATTGAGCACTGGCGCGTGAACCGAAGGGTCACTAGTTCAGTTCCCAGTCAGCGCGCATGCCTAGGTTGTGGGCCAGGTCCCCAGTAGGGGGTACGTGAGAGGCAACCACACACTTATGTTTCTCTCTCTGTCTTTCTCCCTCCCTTCCCCTCTCTCTAAAAATAAATAAAATCTTAAAAAATTTTTTAAATTAAAAAACCTCAGAATTCATTTTGAAACTGTCCCCCATAGCTTCTGCAGCACCGTGGTCTCTCAGAGTTTCTTCGTGTGACCTTTCCTTTTCATTTTATTTCCCGGGCTCCTGACTCCGATGTTTCATCCCTGTGGGCTCTGTCCCTGCCTTCTCCTTTTCTCCCTCTTCTCCCCTGTGGTGACTTTCATCAGTCCATGCTTTCAGTTACCACCTCTACACTGGTGACTCTCTTCTGATGCATACTTACAGCCTTTCAAGGTTTCCCATTACCTAGAAGTAAAAATCCAACTGCTTAGCCAGGCCCAAGGCCTCTCTTGGTCTGAATTCCTTGTGCATTGCCTGGCAGCTGGACTGCACCAGTTGGCAGCTTCCAGCATGTTATCCATTATTCTTCCTCCATGCCTTTGGCCAGGCTTTTCCCCGCTCTGTCGTCCCTGCCCTCTCTCCTTGCCTCCATCTCCCTCCTTCCTGCTCCCAGCACACACCAAATTGATACCTTGCCTTTTAAGAAGCCACTTAGAGGGCTACTTGCCATTTAAGATTCAGCTCATATGCTCATGCCTCATGGAAGCCCTGTTTCATAGACCAGATTAAACATTTTCTTTGTGAGTCCATTGTACCTTATGTACATTTCTATTTTAGTACTTGCCTTATTGCATTTATTACTAGGTCAGAAACAGTTGTATACTGGTTGAATGTCAAATGTGCTGCTGCCTTCCCTAGGCTGAGTAGCTGGGAACAGACCTTTGGGTCTGCTCATCTTTGTAACCCGAGGCTGACCTTTAGAAGGTACTTAATTTGTGTTAAAATAATGAGTGGCATGCTTTTTTGGGCTATATTGAGTTTGATACAAATCAAGCACTTTGGCATTAGTAGGCAAAATTGGACTATTTATACCTGTATTTTATGTCTTTAAGTATATTTATCACTTTTTGTTGTAGGAGGAATATTCTCCTAAGGATGGTCTCCCACTCAGAGTTGAGGAAAGTCTTCTGCTCAGCAGATGCAGTCTGCTTTGACGTCGACAGCACAGTCATCAGAGAAGAAGGCATCGATGAGCTGGCCAAGATCTGTGGAGTTGAGGACGCTGTGTCAGAAATGTAGGAACAGTGTTTATTCACTGTGGGAAATGACAAAGAATTGTAAAAGAGATTAACTTTGGATGACAGGCAGGATCAGAGCCACAATTCCCTGATTATAGTCCCTTGTTATGAAACATGGGCTCTAGGCTTTTCTTCCACCACTGACGGATGAATCTGGTGATGCGCATCACCTAGTCATCCATTTACATGAATGTGGGTAAGACACTCTCTTAGTCTGGTCAGGGGAACGGTGACCATCACCTACCAAACAGGATGACTTGGGTGGGTCCTCCAAGTGTCCGATGCTTTGTGGCATGGTTGGAAGTGTGGCCGCGGTGGTTTGCTGGAAAGCTAGTTTAGGTTCAGAGTCTGTCACTGGATACTTGGATGACCCCTCCCGCCCTCCTTGTGCTCTCTGTAGTTGCCAGGTCCTGGACCATTTCATGTTCAGCTGCGTTTGATACAGGACATGGCTTTAAAATATTTATGTGATTTTCAAGCAAACCTTCAGTGGTTTGTTCTCATAGCATCATAGCTTGTCTGTTATACAGGGGGGCTCCAGGCAGCCCCTTCCTCGTGGGTGGGTGTTGTGAGGAGCTGGCATATAAACTTTGAGAACAGCTGACTTGGCGGGCCTGATTGTTGGGTGTTCCTCCTAGGACAAAGCGAGCCATGGGTGGGGCAGTGCCTTTCAAGGCTGCCCTCACAGAGCGCCTAGCGCTGATCCAGCCCTCCAGGGAACAGGTACAGAGGCTCATCGCAGAGCACCCTCCACACCTGACACCTGGCATAAGGTAAGAGGAGCCCTAGTCTGGGTATATTGTCTCCCTATTAGCACCTGCATTTTGGGGCACGTGCTCCTGAGGGCATCTCACCATTACTTTATTTATTTATTTATAAGATTTTATTTATTTCTTTTTAGAGAGAGAGGAAGGGAGGGAGCAACAGAGGGAGAGAAACATCAATGTGTGGTTGTCTCTTGCACACCCTGCACTGGGGACCTGGCCCACAACCCAGGCATGTGCCCTGACCAGGAATCAAACTGGCAGCCCTTTGGTTTACAGGCTGGCACTCAATCCACTGAGCCACACCAGCCAGGGCATCACCATTACTTTAGAGCTCCCTTCTGTGTGGTTCTTTCGGCACTTACATAAGTGACCCTGCCCATGTCTGCCTTCCCTCTCGCCCCAGGCGGAGCACAGCCTCCTCTTTATCTTGTGTTTCTAGGTCAAAGGACAGATTACAGCTGTGGAATGGTTTCCTAAAACAGCCGAGCCCCATCCTTTAATTAATAAGTGCATTTAGAAAAGCATATATAAAACATTAATGCACCAGGCAATATATACTTTATCCAACATATCTTGGGCAAATGCATTCAAGAGGAAAAATATATTTATGTTTTGATTTCTTTTTTATGTTTTTTCTTTTGTATTACACAGTGTTTGGTATTTTATATTTCTTTTCTACAGGGAACTAGTAAGTCACCTACAAGAGAGAAATGTTCAGGTTTTCCTAATATCTGGTGGCTTTCGGAGCATTGTAGAACATGTCGCTTCAAAACTTAATATCCCATCAACCAATGTATTTGCCAATAGGCTGAAATTCTACTTTAATGGTAAGACTTTGATAGTAACATTTTCCCTTTCTTATCAGTTTTAGTTTTCACTATTCTAGGCAATGTCTGTTGGAATGCAATATCAGCAAGGAGGCATCAGGGTTAAATACTAAGATAAAGACTTCTCTTGACTGATATCTTTTGCTCCTTGGTATCCTTTGCTCAGCAAAATAGTGTTGGGTCATCATCAGTATGTAAATACCTGTACTGAGTACAATGTTCATTTCTGTGTAACTCACATGATTTATTTTGTCATGCATTATAGTTCAGTGTTATGAGAGCTCTCTTGTATTTAGACTCAGGAAGGAGACTCAGTTTGTTAGCAAGTCACAGGGCTGCAGCTGCTTCTGGAGGTGCCTCCGGCCCCTTTAAGGGCCATCACAGAGCCCCAGCTGTGGTTTTAGATGTCTCCACATCTAAGGTCAATGGTGGCTGACATCAATAAAGCCAAATAATACAACGGGGACATCTGAATGGTGTTGGCAATAAAAGTAAAGAAAAAATATTAATTTAACAATCTAAAATGTGCTAATAGAATGCTTTTGAATGGTCAATAGCTAGAGGTCATTAAGAAAAGAAGTGGAGAATGAGTGTAGTAGTTACTGTATGAGTGGAAATAACTGACTGAATGTAAGTTGGGATCTCCTCTGACATGAAGTTATATATTAACTTATTTTAAATTTACTATATTACCATTTCATGGTGTTTTGCTACCGTCACAAGGTTTGAGAACTACTACACTGGAAGCTTAGAGGATAAAAAGAATTTACCCCAAGGTGTTTATGGTGTAAAGGAGCATTTGCGGTTTAAAAGCGAAGCTGGTTTACGCTGAGGAACAGGTGTGGGAGTCCAGGCTGTGTCCCTTTTCTGAGGACCACTCTTAGCTTTCTCGGTGACATTAAGTGAGGCTACTGTCTATGCAAAAAGCTGACTCTACTGATATAATTCTTTCTATCTTTAACCCTGTTTTAACTGCTCTTTTAAGGTGAATATGCAGGTTTTGATGAGATGCAGCCAACAGCTGAATCTGGTGGGAAAGGCAAAGTTATTAAACTTTTAAAGGAAAAGTTTCATTTTAAGAAAATAATCATGATTGGAGATGGAGCCACAGACATGGAAGCCTGTCCCCCTGCCGTATGTATTAAGCATGCATATCTTTTCCTGGTTGTACTTCTGTTTTAGACAGCTGATGTAGAATTCAGTAAGATTTATGAGAGTTAAACAAAAGAACCTACATATCATGGTAAGATAAAAACAATAAGTAAAGCAAATTTAATTTTAATATGTCAATTTATTTTTTGCAAACCCAAGAAAGGTTGCAAATAAGGAACTGAAAATCTTTTCATCTTTCAGCAACCTCTTGTCTGCGCCTCTAAGCCCCAGAGTGTGCTCATCAAGGTTTGGCTTCATTTCCTCAAATAACACCACAAATAATACAGCTCCTGCAACCATAACCAAAGTTTTTATGTCACTGCATATTTGATAGACTGTCTCCTTACACATAGTCTCATTTAACCCTCATAACAACCCTGTCAGGAGAAGCGTCATCGCCTTTTCACTGGTTGGAGAACTGAGGCTCGTGGAGGCTCGATAATGAGTCTATGCGAATGATTCTGTTCTTCTCAGTGAATGCTGTTTTCTGAGACTGGCAGGAGACAGGTGCTATGTAGCAAGTGTACTAAGTATCAAAAGTGTCCATTTCACATAGGCCTTTGCCTTTCTCATCTCATCTCCTTCTATAAAGGAAAACTGAACTAAAAAATATAGTGGTGAACTTTTTTACTACCTAATTTCCTGAGATCTAAAAATCGTAATTGCCTTTGTAAATGATTCATCAAAAGTGATTAAACATCTTTTTGGAACCTGTTAACATTACTCGAATCAGTTAAAGGTAATGCATTCTTAGATAATTGACAACCGACACTGGGGCAGACGAAGTAATGAGCACTGGGCTAGTTGAATGAGGTGTACACAGACATAAATGCAGAGTTCTCTCTGGAAGCTCCCAATCCGTGTTGAGATAGGACAAATTATACATTCCAGAATGTAATTTATAATTATATTCCAAAATTATAAATAGCCTGACTGAACCAAGAGAAAGTGGCATGCATGAGGTGTGTAGCCCTTGGGGGGTGGTCAGAGGAATCTGTGATCTAAAGGAAGGTGCGCAGGCACCCTGGCAGGGCTCAGGGGAGGAAGTTTCTGGAGGGACAGGAGGCTGCAAAGCAGAGTGGGATGTATGAGGCATAGTTCTGGGCTGGTCAGTGGCTAAGGACCAGCAGGAGTGGGTTTCTCATCACCGAACCAATGAAGACCTTACGTTTTACCAGGTACTTGGGGTGCTACCTTTAGGTCCTGGGAAGCCCTACAAAGCTTTTGGAGAAAGGAGGAATGAGTCCCTGTGCTGGCCTGGCTGAGCTGGTGCTGGCAAGTGGAAAAGGCTGCCACAGGGGCAGGATGCTCAGTTAGGAGGCTAAGTTTAACTGGAAGGTACAAATCTACAATAGTGACTCCCCCCCCCCCCACCCCACTGTGGCATGAAAATTAAAACGAAGAGAAAGGGAAAGTAAGAGAATTTTGTACTTACCATTTAGTGTATATTGTGTCTATATCCTGCCAGAAATGGAGAAAAAGACCATTTTAAAAGAGTTGGAAAAGGGCCCTCACCTGACCATGGTGGCGCCCTGATCTCAGGCTTCCAGGCTCCCAATCTGTGAGAAATAAATTTCTGTGGTCTATAAGCAAAAAAGAAAAAAAAGAAAGAAAGAAAGAAAAGAAAAAGACCATTGAATAAAAGAAGGTATGACTTAATAGGAATTAAAGAAACACTGTAACTTTAAACAATTTTAAATGATGAAAGTAGAGTGCTTCCAGCAGATTCTGGGGCTGTCATCTCCCTCAGGCCAAGATTAACACACCTGCCAGGAAGGGCAGAGGAGGGAGGGAGGGGGGAGGAGGGAGAGAGGAGCCAGCATCTCAGGTTCCCGCAGGGCACAGTGGGGAGAGGCCTGCTCTGGTCCTGCTCTGAGGCACTGGGTGAGTTCCCCTGCACCACAGGCTTCTCTTTGATCTTCCCTCTTTGAAATTTCCTGGACTGGGCAGTGATTGCTGAAGTCAGACATTTACCACCTGCTGTGATTTTACCTCTCTAAGCAATTGTCTTGGTGGTAAGAGAGCTTCTATTCTCTAGAGGCCAGCAGTGTCCAGGGAATGGGTATGCTGTGGGTTTGTTCATTCCGCTCATTCCGCAGGTGGGAGGCTCACAGGTTGCTCTGGAGGCACAGGACTGGAGTTGGCCTCACCTCTTTGCTTGGTTTATTCTTCCAAACAACACTTCTTGCCCTAGGCTGCTACTGCATCTTTTTCTTTTTTAAATAAAACTATCCCCCACCCCTTTCTTCCTTCTTAGGATGCTTTCATTGGATTTGGAGGAAATGTGATCAGACAACAAGTAAAGGACAACGCAGAATGGTACATCACTGATTTTGTAGAGCTTTTGGGAGAACTGGAAGAATAATCAATTTTTATATAGTTCACAACTTCGTATTTTTAAAAGTTATGCAGTTTTGTACTGTTTGCTTAAAATTGCCTATTACAACTTAATGGATAAATTTGGTACCGATTATCTGTACTTCCAAATAAACTATAATTAGGGCTTTTAGAAAGTTGCTTTAAAAAACAAAACAAAACAGAACTATAGTTCCAGTATTATGACCATCAATTACCTGGAGAGTTTTATAATCTGAATTCATTATTCCTATCTTTATTTTATTTGAAGCTTTTTTAAAGGCGGAGAGTAAATTACCATAAACACCTTCCCTATTGAAAATATGATTAGGCAGTGAATATTAGTTTTCCCTTTGGTATACAAATAAAAGTTTATCCATATATTAGAAAGAATTAGGGGAATTTTTATTTCTGCCTGTCGTGTATTTCAATATCCAGTATTTCAAGTACTGTAGGTGTTTGAGTGGAAACAACCTGGAGGCAAAGGACCAAGGAACAAAGTGGAGAGCCCTCTGAGCTCAGCCCCCCAGCCGCCCCCACCACTCAGCCCCCACCAGCCCCCGAAGGTTGGAATTTGTCATATGTGGAATTGTTACAAAAGCTTTAAAAAAAGAACAATGGAGTCTTAAATAAAAGTGGGTATTTGATAATGACAAGAAATAAAAGAACTAAAAACAAGTTTTATTCATCCCAAAGGAAAGTAGCCCTTTCCCCCAATGAGTGAAGAAATAACTCCTAAGAGCACATATGAACCATTTCTTTCTTACAGGTGACCTGGAAAGACTTGGATGCCAGGTTCATGGTTCATTCTGAGTGGTGCCAAGAAAGGGAGATTTCAGAACATTGGCTTTAAAAGTATGAGATTATATACCCTCCCTCATGGAAAAATCGAGGAGGATAAAGACACAGGTTTAGGTAGAGTCATGTAGTGGATACCACTGGATAATTAAGTAGAAAAGGCCAAACTGTTTAATATTGGAAATTATTTGAAAAATTCATAATTTAACCTAATCTAACTTGGCCAAATAATCAAATCAGATGAATAAAATTTCCCTCGAAACCAGAATTTCTGCCCTGGCTGGTATGGCTCAGTGGACTGAGCACCAGCCTACAAACCAAAGGGTCACTGGTTCAATTCCCAGTCAGGGCACATGCCTGGGTTGTGGGCCAGGTCCCTAGAAGGGGGTGCCACGTGAGAGGCAACCACACATTGATGTCTCTCTCCCTGTCTTTCTCCCTCCCTTCCCCTCTCTCTAAAAATAAAATCTTTTAAAAAAACAACCAGAATTTCTGTGGGAGAGACATGAAATAGGTTTGGCAACATTTAAATGAGATCACCAACAAGGAGGCAGTTGTTCCCTGACTGTGAATGCTTCCTGGCAGCTCTCCTAGATGCAGTTTTGTGCATTTGCACTTCAGGCAGTGCTGTGCTCTAGGCAGGACCAGGCAGGCCAGGTCTTCGAAGGGTGCTGCGAGCAGCCTGGGCCTTTGCCACCACCCGCTGTGCATGAGCTGAAGCAAGCCTTCCCCTGGAGCCGGGGGCCTGAGAAGCTGTTGGCCTGTCAGAGCCTGCCATCCACAGGGCAGCGGCCTGAACGGGAAGTGTACGTGGAACTTGGCTCCAAGGAGTTTGATCTACTGAGAAGTTGTGATACCAAAATAAACCCTTTATGCCAACTACACACTCCCTCCTCTGGCCCACAGTCTCCCCAGCTCTCAGCAAGCTGCACAAAAGCACTCACAATTCCTTCTTTGTTGTGTTGGAGGGGTCAGTTTGAAGTGGGCCAACAGCTGCACTCACCTCTTTCATGCTTTTCCAATTCTGGACTCCTGGGAAAGCTACAGGGTGGCTCTCCTGGGAGTCATGGATGTGGTTCTACCCCGGAAAGGGACTAAGAAAGAGGTGGTGGTGTTACATGGCTTCCTATCCTTGAGGCCATCTTTCCTGCTGCTATCAGCACTACTTACGTAAACAAAAAAGGGTAAGAGTAGGGGGTGCAGAGAATGGAAATTCAGTTGCAACAAGTCCCTCGAAACTTTCATGTGCTCAAACAACAAGGCAACCCCATGGCCTTCATCCCCTACTCCCACCCCCATCTTTTCAGGTTTGACTGCTGCTATGATTCTTCTGTTGCTCTCCTAATTGGAGACAAATGTTTCTCCCTGATGCACAGGGGGTCCCACCCGGCTGCCACCTCCAGTGCAGGGTGCAGGATTCTAGGTCTGGGGCAGGGCTGTGGCCAGGGATTCAAGTGGTCGGCCTCAGTGATGGCACAGGCATGATGACTTCTGCCTCTGTGACCCTCAGGATCTTTGTGATCAGGTTCAGAAAACCCAGGGTACGAACTGACCACAAGTCACACTGCTGATTTTCACATTTTCCAAGGTGTTTTCTGTTTCCTCATGATCCCCACAACCCCGAGGTCAGCAGAATAGATACCACTGTCCTTTTTAACAGATGGGGACCAAGCCCACAAAAGTTAATGAGTGCTGTGGAGTCACATTCAGAGCTGGGCCACAGGCCACAGCCTTCTTTATCTGCGTTACTAGAGAGTTAACAATTTACTAGAGCCAGGAGGTTTTGCCGTAAGCTAGTACTTATTAACATTCTGATCACTGGTGTAATATATATTAGTAAGATAACATTTTCCTTCCTAGGATGGCAGGCCTTTATTGCAAAAAGTTGAAATTTTTTTTTAATGGTCACTGAACACTGGAAAAAGTAACTTTTAGTACTAGTTAGAGGATGGTTCAGTAATTTGCTGACCCATTTCCAATTCAGAATGTAATTTTATGTTTATTGTCTTCCTTTTGATTACAAAAATTGTTTTAGTGTTTAAATTTTACTTGTTTAATCCTTATCCAAGGAATAAATGAATATTTAAGAGAAACATTGAGAGAGAAACAGTGAGAAACATTGATTGGTTGCCTCCCACACACACCCCAGCTGAGGATCAAACTCGCAGCCTAGCTGTGTGCCCTGACCAGGAATCAAACCTGCAAGCTGGTCAGGGCTGTTTTCCGACTAGAACTGACAGTCTGCATGCTTTCTATCCCTTTCTTCCCTCTCTCCTTTCACATCCTCCTTCATTCTTTCTATTGACTCATCAAACATATCATTGAACATCTGTGTCCCAGCCAGAAACCTAAAATATACATTTAGGAAAAAAGTATGTAGAACTGAAAAACAGTCTCTCTCGGGCACTTGTAAGAATAGGAGAAAAGAAGCAGGTTCTGTCGAGTGCTAGTTCGGAGCAAAGTGTAGTTCTCCAAGGGCTTTTTAAAAGTAGTAGGTATGCCCTGGGGGGGGGGGGGGTGTGGCTTAGTGGATTGAGTTCCAGTGTGCGAACCAAAAGATTGACTGTTCGATTCCCAGCCAGGGCGCCTGCCTGGGTTGCAGGCCAGTTCCCCAGTTGGGGGCGTGTGAGAAGCAACCAATCAGTGTTTCTCTCCCTCTCTGCTTCCCTTCTCTCTCTGAAAATAAATGAAACCTTAAAAAAAAAGTAGTAGGGCTGATATCACATGAATGATAATTAAAAATGTGTTGATTTATATAAGTAATATTCATCAGACTTATACCCAATGAATGGAAAATGAGATTGGAAATTTTAAATATTGCCAATGAAAATAGTGGGGCAAATAATACAATTTATTTTACTACAGGGGTTTAATAAAAAGATTCCCCCAAGTGGGCAGGAAGTGCTAAAATAAAGTGATAATTTTATAAATTAGCTTAATAGAATGTTTTTGTCAAAAGTCGGCATGTTGCTAAATTAATGACCAGTTTTCAGACTTCATCCAACCCAACCTTGCAGAAGCATTTGACACGGGTGACCTCATCCTTGACGGACTTTCTAAACTTGGCTTTTATAACATCCTACCTTCTTCAGTCTCTTCCTGTCTCCCTGGCAGTTTCTCACTCTCCCTTCCTGGTTCCTCCTCTCCTACTGCCTCCCATGGCACCAAGAGCCAGTTACAGAAATTCTGAGCCAAAGGAATCTTAAATCTGGTGTTCAACCTCCTCATTTTACAGATTAAGGAACTCAGAGAGGCTAAACACTTTGTCAAGGAGCAGAGTCTGGACCTGAAAAAGCCTGTTCTTCTGCGGGCAGCCCCAAGCCCGCAAACACCATGCTGCTGGCTCTGGGACACAAATGCTTGTTCCCCAGGACACCCCGCCCAGCGGCCAAAGGGAGCTGCTGACAAGCTTATTCAGTATTTTACTCTATAGACTCATATAAGCCCACTGAACTGGGACAAGCTCTTTCTCAAGAGTGAGAGGGTCATTCTCAGCACAAGTTCATAAAAAAGATCACAAACATGTAATATGTGAAAATTCAGAGAATTTTATTGGCTTTTATATGTTCTTGGAGAAAACCATTCACATGTAAAAGTTTGAAATTTGACATGAGATTTATTCACACTTTGTTACACATAAATTATTTAATTTGAGAGTGAGATAGTTTTTCATTTCAAGAGGACTTCTACATGATTACATTCACAAAATTGGCACACTATATTAAAAAACAAAATCAAACAGAGCTAGACAAGTATACAGCTTTATGCCAATTTAAATGTCAACACACACACCCCTCATGCATGATCATGGAAGTATCTGCTGTGAGCTTATCAGAATATTAATAGAGAATGCCTGAGATCATGAATGATTGTTTACAAAATAAAACCTCTTTTTCTAGTGCTTGTTTTGTTATAGAAAAATACTACAAATAAAAATTAGTGCTATTCAAGGTGTTCATTTTAAAATCACATATGATACACAGGTTCAAGCCATTCTTCCCCCTCTCATACGGAGACACCGCAACACCCCAAGTGAGGGCTGAATCACTGATTAAATCATCTTGGCAGCCACGACCAGCTTAGCAACGACATGTTTACAATGCCGAATGATTAAAAATGAGAGTGCATTAAAATGTACTTAGGTATGAGGTTCACTCATAATTTGTTCCTAGTCTGAGACTCAAAAACACTGCCAGAGAAACATGACAAAATTTGTATTTCTTCCTGATACAAGAAATTTGTCTAAAAATCTGTAGTTACAAGACAGATTTGCTTTTTTAAAAGAAATGACTTTTTTTTCCCATGATTAGATTCTTATTTAGAGATGATTTGAATTTTAGTTTGGGCTCCCTTTTCCTGGAGGCTGGGAAGGGGGGTTCAGTACTGTGAGGATATTCAACACGCACAGGGATGTTTCAAAGAGGACTGCAGAGCGCTGTTACAATCAAACTGTAATAGTTTCCTTTCTTATAATTATGTAAATTTTAAAGAAAAGAGGTCTCATAAGCTATATACAGCAGTTTACATTTCAGCGTTTTTCACTTGATATACAATTAAAATTAATTCATGACAAATACTTGTCACAGAGATTCCCA